CAGAAGTAAAAAAATTGATTTTTACTTTTTGCTTGCAGTAGTTTAGCCAGAACAATTCTAAAAACATCAACCCAGTTCGTTGTTTGTTGATTTTGATCAATAGGTTTTTTTTACGGGATCAAAGGGCCAAATTCAAAACTCAAATGGTGGAAAACTTTAAAAATTAGCAATCAGCTTTTTAAATTTTTTCAACTCATTGACCTTTTTTCAACCCTCTATTGACTTATCATCATAGCAGAGCAAACAGCAACTCTCCTTTCTTCGCATATGTCTCAGACTAATTTTGAATGTGGCAAAATAAAACATTGTGCCATTTTAAAAATACTCAGGAGAAATTGAACGTTTTTAGGCATGAAGAATTTAAAATGGGAAGCAAAAAGAGCTGCAGCAAAAATGAAATATACTTTTAATGCATCATATTGCAATGGTATAACCTATGTTGTCTTTTTTGTTGTAGACCTTATTGCCCTAACTCTTCTCAGTCGAAGGCTTTTAAGCCTTCGTTATGCATACTACGCTGCTTATGATTAAACCAAGTGTTTTAAAAAAGTGTATTCAACCAAAAGTGAGGACAAAAGTGTATGTAATCGAGGGACTGATCAACCTACTACTTTTTCATAATTTTTGATCAACGTGATCAAACAAGAAACATACCAAAAAAAACATGTTAAACACTTTTTTCCGGCATCTATAGCAGAGAGCTTGGAATTTTTTGATAGAAATGTTGATCACTTAGATGCGAAAATATTTGAAATAAAGTGTTTTTTTTTGTCGGTAATTTGGCCCAAAGTCCCCCTCCGATGCTACTCTATCAAATATATTTTGACGACCAATCTAAGATCTCTGTAAAGGTCTTTTCGATGTCAATATATTCTTATTTGCATGAGAATTCACGCCTAAAATGTCACTTTGATGCGGAAAACTATCCAAAATGTGTTCAAGACAAATTATTTGTGGCACCAATTATCTGCAGTGTTCTCAAAACACTTTGCTGGATGAAAAATACGTTAGCGAAAAATTATAGCGAAATTATTTTTAAGTTTATTTTGCAGATTTTTTCAATTGGTTTTTTTTCTTAGGTAATTCTATTTTGATCAATAAGCTTTGTGCCGTAGTGAGGAAACTACCAAAAATTAAAAGTGTTTCTAGGGGGACACACTGTCTGTGGTATACTTGCTATGCATATCATTATGTCACACTGTCTTTTTAATTTTTATCGTAATCTGGATATCAAGACAATGTGACTTGAGGCATATTTGAGATCCAACCACCTTTCTCCGCTCATTTTCGATGTAGCAATTTGGGTGGCAGAGTCCAATAAATCCAACAGGTTTTGAATCTACTATTGGTTTTTATGGATTTAGTTATTCATGGGCTTCGCATCCTTGGCTATTTTTACCGCACCATCCTTCTTAGCCGTGATGACTATCGGGAAAATAAAGGGTTTGCTCGAACACTTATTTAACTTCACGTTACGCCCTTCGTTTATCAGCTAGCAGAATTCTTTTCCTACTTTCTCTATAATATGCACTGGAGCGCGGTGCCCTTTCTCCTGTATCGGAATAAGAAGTGATTTGAACGTACAGAAGGCTTGGCGATTCTCAGCTCTGCCCAATCTTTAGAAAACATCTCCGAATTCCTCCTCGTAAAGTGTTATCCATTGATCCGATATTTCTCTCTGTTCTACTTGGCTGACTATGCCCACAAGTGGGCTTTGTGGGCTGACTTGTGGCGTTCGGACTCCAAATCGGGACTGGAGGTCCAGGCCTAGCAGGAATTTGGTGCGGTTCTCCGACACCAAAAATTTTGCTGACTTTACGTTCCAACCCAAGGACGAGACGTCGACTATCAGGGTACAAAAAGTTCAATTTTTCTTTGGTTGTAGTCTACGTATACTGTGTCAATTGGATAGTCGTGTTCATCTAAGATATATGCTGATGGGACAGATTTAACAATAATTTTCGCTGTTCAGTCTGTTTACAAAAGAAGCGGGACTGCCAATATACACCGTCGCTTTGAAAAAAAAATCTTGTTACAACGTAAGGTAATTTGAATACAACAGATTCTGCTGTTCGCTGCTTTTATCACTTCTAGTTTCTTACCAATTGATGTTTCTGACAGATAGGGAAACTCGGGTCCTGTAGACTGTCACTAGCTAGAACAGCAAACTGAGATTCGCTATCCGATGTAATAAAACTACAGCCTTCCTTGGTCGTTTCGTCTGACTCTGCGTCAACATTTGCGATAATTTTAGATTTACAGCATATGGCGAAATGGCCTGTCTTACTGCAACTCCGGCACGTCACACAACTTTCTAGACAGCTCTGTTTGTGACTCGGTGTGAACTTAATTCCGCAAAATTAACAAGGATTTGGGTCTTTGGAGTTTCCGTCTTAAGAACGATTTGATTTAGATTGTACCCGATTGATTCGATCCGATAATTTCTTACTTTGAACGGAGAACTTAGGTTCCTGCTTGATGCAGAAACTTTGCGAATAACTTGAACCTTGTTGGCATGAACTGCCTAAATGTGCCAAACTCCCGAACTGATTTTGCAAACTGGATGCCCCTTTGTCCTGTAATGAAGAAGACTTGAGAATACTTTTAGGAGTAGCAACTGGACGGATACATAAGTCACGCTGGATATCTTGAAAATCCATCCGTCAGACGGATACATAAGTCACGATGGATATCTTGAAAATCCAACCATCTTGAAAATCCATCTGCTTGGACCGTCAGAGGCAGAAAAAAGGACTCAAGGCTCTCGCGTTTGAAGTGCACAGCGCTATAGACTCGTAATCGTTCTAAGATGTAACTCTTTTTTTTTTCTTGAATAGTAATACACAGCTGTCGAAAAAAAACTTTGATTGAAATTACACAAAGTTCCGTGTGAGGATAGTTTTGAAGAAATCGTTTTCTACCCTTGACACATAGAGAGAAGAATGATCTGGATTTTAATCTCTGATCTGCTTCACAAAAAAAAAAGACACCAGGAGCTATCCTCGTGCCTTTTGCCCTTATTTCCTCGTTTAATTCATCTGTCTTGCGCTTCGTCTAAACGATTCGCTTCGGCTGTCTCGTCATCGCTAGAGCCTGCGACCTCCGGCTTGTACAATCCCGGAGTTTTGAGCAGTTCACGCGGGTCGCATCTTTTCCGCAGAGTTATGGCGAGGTTGAATTGGCCTTCCAGGATTACCATCTGCTGGGCTGCAGTAGGCTTGGGCCATCTGCAGTAGGCTTGGGCCAGAAGGCGGGTACTCCTAATAGATTGTTTCGGTCTTCCGCGACCGGAACTGCTGGCTTCGCATTAAGGAACCTCACGGAACTTGAATAAAATTGAGATCAAGACTTAAACTCTTATTGTGTAATAGATATAAATTACACAGGAATATAGTAAATGTCATGACAATTAACACTTAGAACCAACCTAAATCTTTCACGATAGAAAGTGAGAGTATAGAATAGCACCAACTTCATGGGCGCTATGGCAAGCCGTCAACGACCTTGATATTCAGAATGCGATATACATTAATAAGATAGTGTGATAGTGTCATTAAGAATAATAATAATGGTATGCATAGCAACATCACAATGCTACCCAAAGAACCCTTGTTCGATACTAATTTACGACATCTACTTTTGGACCCAAAATATTTTAAGGAGTCAGCCTTGAGGTCCACTGTACTATAAACTTGAGGTGGGATAGCCTGCCAATGCCATTTTTGAGCAAACCTATACAAAATCTTCGAGCTTTTTTTAAAATCCGACCGCTCGAAATCCTAGATCCGCGCCTGCTTGATTCGATTTCAGTGAGCATCAAATATAGCCAGTGACTGCTACCCAGAACTGTTTGAAATTTTCGGATTAAAAAGTCTTAAGCTTTATAAACACCTTTTGAGGTCCTAAATCAAGAAGCTTTTCACAACATCCAGTATTTTAATTTTAATCCAAAATATTCTAAAATTCCCTCTTTAGAAGTGAGTGTGAGTATTGAGGACAGAATGGAGTTAGGCAGTGAGCTATTGGACAAGATGTATTACCCTGTGAGTCTGAACGAGGAGGACTTGCAGGGGGCCCTAAACCCCACTTTGATTGACAGGCAGTCGCAAGTAGAGGGGGAGGAACACCTGCAGCCGTCCAAGAAATCAGATGAAACTAACGCCAGTCAAGAAGTTGGTACTAATCAATGGGCAATTAAAAATTAATTAAGAGTCATGAACGTCGTGAATACTTTTTATATAGGTCTTCCTGATTTTTGTTTGTTTGTTTGTTTTTCAGAAAAAGTCCTTAGATGCTCTAAATCAACAAAAGTGCATCTATACATTAATGCATTTGTATTTCTTTTGGGGGGTGTCAGCAAAAATGAATCCAGTTAAGTTGTGACAAAAGTGCCTTTGGTCAGTTCGATATATGGTTTCTCAGGGGTAACTCGATCTCAGCACACAACTCTTTTGTTGTCTCTTCGTGAATTAAGTAGTCATTTAAGACAACTTATCCGCAGTAGAATGGAGCAACAAACGAGCTGTTCAGCTCGTGACGGAGAACCGCTGTTGTGCCATTGACTAAGAACTACATGCATTTTTTGGTTATCTTTCTGGGCTGGGTAAAGTTAGCTCGTTGCTTGAGGGTGAGGCAACATTACCCAGCCCAGAAAACTAACAAAAAAAAATTGCATGTAGTTCTTAAGCAGGGGCACAACAGCGGTTCGCAGTGATGAGCTGTACAGCTCGTATGCTGGTCCTATCCTTCGTGGATAAATGATCTTAATAGCTCACCCTCAAGCAACAAGCACGGATCATAGTGGGTTTCGAACATCCAACCTTTCAATTGAAAAGCTGGACGTAACCACTTCATTACCGCTATTACTAATCAGATTCCCCATATTTAAGGCTGAAGATGGGAAGAAGACTAAGTTCGACCCCAGACTGCAAGACGGCTGCGTTCTGCCCAAAGAGTACATGCCATATCCACCTGAGTTACTCAACACACCATTGGAAGACATGGACGAAGTGCGCCGACAGCTGGGCAAAGTCAGAGCTTTGATATGATTACAGACAAAAGTTCGGACAGACAAAAATAATTACAAAAACTTTTGATATTTTGAAATTTTTTTTTACATGGAATGGCTACTTTTTTTCCGAGTTTGTTCCTCAAAGTTGTCTGAAACACCGAAATTGCACGAAAGTTCTGTCAAAAAGGAAAAACTGATTTTTTCAATTATTCTTGTCTGTTTGAACTATTTACAACGATTTAATATTATTTTAGTCAGTATAATAAATTAATTGCAAAACTTTTGGATACTGCTGCGGTGTCTTGTGTCTGCTGCTGCGGTAATTGATTGCAGCTGTTTTTTTGTTGATCTGACCTTTGGTGATAACCGAGTAAAAACAAGTTTTGGAAGCAGGGAGAAACAAGGACATGTAAACATGTTTAGAGAAAAACAGATCAAACTGCTGCATTAATTCGAGCTAAATTTCCTGTTAGAAGAGTATGTCTAAATTTGCTTAAAAAATTGATCACAAATCAAATCTTGACGCCCGTTGTTGTGAACACGGTAGGGTTTTCATTAAATCGCTTGATTTGAACTCGCCATTGAGTAATTTTTTATAAACCTGATTGAGTAATAACTGCTTAGACATTTGTGGTTATAACGGAGAAGATGGGCCGTCTAGTGATTACCCGATACGGCACTGGCAACTCACTCTTTCTCATCCCGCCCACTGCAATCATCAGGACCGGCTGCATCTTCATCCTAAGCAGTCAGTGGTTCGAAGTGTTCATCACTATCTGCATCCTGGTCAATGGCTTCTTCCTAGGAATTGAGTTGAACATATACTTCATGGAGTGCCTATTCCAGGTAGGTTAACATCAATTTCTCAAGTAACTGTATGAGATTACCGTTTTGATTATTACTTTCCATCGAAAAAATTGCAGCAATTGCATTTTTGGACATTGATTTTTAGCCATAAATATAGGGTAGGTCAACATGTTGAGCAAACAATTCAGCCACTTTTTACTGTTTCAGTTTCTCTACACGTGTGAAATGATCATGAACATCATTGCTCGTGGCTTCATCATCGGAAGGAAATGCTACTTGCACGACATCTGGAACATTGTCGATTTCGCAATCATAGTCTACAGGTGAGATTTCCCTCATTGAAATAAAACTCAATCTACTTGTATCCATTCAATCTGTGAGAAATTAATTGTCTTTATCATCATTGATGTAAGTATACTGTGTAATCGCCATTATACATATATTATGATTGTTACTTTTTAACTGCTAGCTTCACATTCCTTCCTTTTTGTCAGGGTCAATTGTGCTTAGCATGGTATAATGCCCTTGATAATGATGGGGGTGGGAGCTAAACTATGCGGTTTTTAATCAAGAAGAGTCTGTATTTGTGAGAATATCTTATAATGCATAATTCGAGAGTTTGAGTTGTTGTTTTAGTTATGTGTACTTTGCGTATGAGTTCTCGGACAGTTACTTTGGAGCAGTGAATCTGCAGGCATTCCGAGCCATCCGCATCATCCGAGCCTTCAAAACACTCTCCACCGTTGAAGGTTAGCAAATTATGAGAAAACAATACGGAGTATGGAACATTCAGGGAAACGAAAATTAGGGAATGCGCAATTTTTTTTCTAAGCCAAAAAAACAGATTTGAAGGTAGTTCAAAGTCTTAAATAGGTCTTGATGATTGCTTTCCTCGGGAAAAGTCTTAGAATTTGTTCAGGCTCAAATTAGTTTTTTGGTGGTTTGACTTTTGATTTCTTTTTAAGTTCAACTTTTTTCCGCTGTCAAAACGAAGGCAAACTCCACTATCGAGCAGCAAAAGTAAAAGGGTCACGGAAAACGTGATCTACTCTAAGTTTCGAAGGTTTTTTTTAGTTTCCAATTTCCTGAATAAAAAAAAATACCTATTGCATCAGATTTTCTCAAATTGGGTTATTTCAATAAGAAAATTTCAATCATAAACAGTTTTAGAAATTCAAAAAAATTTAGAACTATCTCTTTTTTCTTAGCAGTTCAAACATTTGTTCAAAAATTCAGTACTTTTTCAGTTTACTTGCGTTCAATGGTTCATTCATTTACTCTTTTCCAACTGTCTGTTGGCATTTTTTCAAATTTAATTCAAAATTAACGCTATCCTGAGCACGAACAGTTCATAAAAAATCTGTCAAAGCTGAGTAATTGCTCTTTTACATATCTGAGCATCAGCTTCAGATATACATTTGATGCCAAACTTTGGGCAAAATTGGGGAACTAGGATGCTCAATCGTTTTATGTTAATTAAGGCAGTTTTATGTTAATTAACTTCAATTAGACGAGAAAGGAGCCAAGAAGCCGGCATTAGCTATACAACTGTCTGGGAATTACGAACGTTTTGTTGTTCCAGGACTTCGCAAGATCATCAACGCCCTGTTGAAATCTATTCGGAACCTGATAGAAGTGCTGGCAGTAACTGGGTTCATTGTATTCGGCACAGCAGTGGTCACTATCCAGCTCTTCGGGGGAGTGTTGCGCAATAAGTGTGTCAAAGAGGGGTTCAATGCGTCCAATTACGGAAAATGGACGACCACGCCCAGTTGGTCAATTTTTATCTGAAGAATCGAAAATGTTGAAGGCTCGTTTACTGTTTGCCCTGCATGGATTCTAAAACTAATACTTTCGAATTGTTAAGACTATGTATGACAGCAGAGTTGGTACCGGACATGAATTTGAAGCCCGAGCGCGGCCCAGTTACGGGCCCGTTTTTAGTGAAAACAATAATTTCCAAACAAAAACTAAATTGAAATTCAAATGTGAAATTTAAAAAAGTCGGAATGGTGGATCGACAGGAGTCGAAGATGGAGTCCCTCCGTCAGGGGTCTTCGCAAAAGGCTTCAAGACGCCGTTAGTGGTCACCACAAGGCACCCGCGACTCCAGTCGTTGATGTCCTTTAGCAAGTTGATCTTGAAAGGCTGCTCAGCTGTGCCTGTCTCCGCTGAAGAGTGAGCTTCCAGAGGGAGGTTCTGGCCTTCAAAAATCTCAATGACGCTTCATGTGACTCGCACCAGAAGAAAGATTAGCAATCAGAACCTTAAGCCCATGAAAAAATTATCTAATATTTATTCGCATTTATGTATATCTAAATATAGTTAAGTTTTGTAATTATAAAAACGGAAACCGGAC